AACGTTCCGCAGCTAATGAGTGAAGGCCGACCAACCTATTTTGTCCAAATGTCCGTGTATGGGAGATGAGAATGCCACTGCGTCAAAGGCAAGACGTGTGCGAGCGTCGCTAAAAATAGAGACCACTATCGATGTTTTAGTATACATGGTTTCATTCTTAGTCAGAGCGCAAACAGAGGTTAGATGTCACGAAAACACATACACAAAGACAAAAAGCACTTTATCACGGCGCATTGTATGAGTTGTTATATTAGTGGGTGGAATCACCCAAACAAAGATAGTGAACGCCGTGGCGTTTAGGTGTTGAGCTGTTGGTGATGCTTGATCGGCGCAATGTGTCAGTCGAGCTCCAACTGAGGGTGATATGAGGCGGGGCAGCTCTGTGGTTTTAATTGTTGTGTTGCATAGTTAGTTTCGGCCGTCAGCAAATAGTGAAAAATATCTATCTACTTATCTCTCTCTCTCTATATTATATATATATATATATATATATATATATATATATATATATATATATATACAAAGGCAAAAATACGTACTGTCAGAGTTACTAATTCGAAGTTTACTACGACGTTTCGAGCGGGGACCACTCTTCATCACCTAATGAAGAACGGTCCCCGCTCGAAACGTCGGAATAAACTTCTAATTAGTGACTCCGACAGTACGCATTTTTGACGTTATATATATATATATATATAATTACTAATACAATGTCTGGACATTTACACTTACCAAGTAACCTCTTTCAGCTGTGATTTGAGACTGTGTTGCGCTTATCCCGCTCTTATTTATTTATTTTTTGTTTCTCTTGTTTCTGGCCTTTTTAGAATAGGCTTCCACCAGCTCGCTTGCGCGTGAACTCTAATTATCGATTAGTAAATCGAATAGCGATTCGGACGAATTTACTACGGCGGGAAGAACGAATTTGCAAATCTCATGGCAATTAGGAAATTTCAGCCATCCTTGGTTTCCGATTGGTCGCGCTCAGTAGCGGCTCTCTCCGCACAGAGTAGCCTCGAGTCAGAATTCGCGGAGTCTCTACTGACCGGCCAAAAAAGTGCGGCCTTCAACTGCTCCCGCCCAGACGACTTGATGTATTTGTATACGCCCATGACATCGGCCGCGATCGGCGATTGAGGTTCCGTTAGCCGACGCAAGCGTCAGCGGACGTCTCATATTTCCATACTCATTACCTACAGAAACCAAAACAACAACAAAAAAACATCCAGTTCATGTTCACTATGTTCACCACTGACAAGATAGTCGGTAGTCGACGAGTTTCCGTGCAAAGCCGATCAAAACGAGGCCCCAGATCAACTTTTACGGCTGCCATCAGGAAAGATCTGGCTTGTCGCGTTCCCTCAACGTCACTCCGAATATTGTTTGTGCCCCGCGCACCATCCTCTTGTAGCAATATTTTTATTGTCCCCATGTGATTTCTTTTTTATGTTCTTACTGGTGTTTGATCATAATTCGGTCATTGAAATAGTTTTTGCTGCCGACCCTACCATTATTTTGACCCTCTGGCAGCAAAGGAATATTATGCCGGCATTACACACGAAATAAGAATGTAGACACTCCGTCCCATATCTCAAATTACATCACAACGTGTTTACACAACTGTAGTGCAGAGGTACGATGAGCAGGGTCTGAGAAAATATTAGTTTCAGTATTTTCAAAAGAGCGACGAAACAAAATAAAGAAAGGACTGCCAATCGGCAGCGCGTGCAAGCAGAGGCAGTAGTGACAGGAAGCGCGAGGTGTCTTTCGTACGGCCGGCATCAACTCACGCACTGTCCGAAGATGTACTGTTTTACTCGTAGGATTGCAACGCTGCGGAATGTAGGCGTGTGATTTCAGAAAGCGCGTCCTACCATTTCTACGCGCGAGTGCTCCTGCAACCCAAGCATTGTATACAGTTACGTCCTCGCGCCCGTGCCTTGGCCAGCCCCGTACACAACTTATGCAGTATCGAAAAGGCATAGTTCAAAATTGACGGTCCCACTTTTCCATACCGCTTCAAAACCCCATCTCGCTCAAATCACTTGGCAGCCGGACAATTTTGGCAGGGGGCCTCAAGTTGGGGATTATCCGGTACATTGTCCTCCCAACAATGAACGTGGGCGCGACGCGCCAGAGGGTGAACACGTGAAAGGAGGGGCGTAAGAGTGGAGAAGGAAACTCAAGGTCGCAAGCGACGGGAAAAAGGGTTTCGAAATTGGCGCGCAGGTTTTGCAGCATTTGCTCATACTAGAGTTCCTGTATAGGCTCCCTACGGGAGCCAGAGTTGCGCATTTGTTTTCCCCGCGCCGCCACGCCGCTATTCGCCGAGATCCATCACGTGAGGAGCAAAGCATCCGGTGGCGTGCAAGAAAGCCACCTTTACGGTCGCTCCGCCGACGTTTCTCTTGCCCCGGCGCATGTTTCCCTGCTTTCCGCCTCCTTTTCCTCCTCTCCTGTTTTCCATGCGCGGCGGCGCGCGCGGCGCCGCTATTCGCCAAATTTAGTCACGTGAGGAGCAAAGCATCCAGCTCGTGCGGGAAAGCCGGCGCTACGGCCACGCGCCGAGGCTGAATGCGCAACTCTGCTACCGTAGGTAGCTATACAGGAACTCTAGCTCATACGGACAGCCAACGCCGCCCTGGTGGTTCAACTAATGTTTTGTTCAAGATGGCCGCCGTGGTACCGCAGCCTTAAACGCCGGCCGTGTAGCTCGTGTACTTCCCCATCCAGAAGCCTGAAGTGGCTGACAGCGGGAAACCGGGGGACTCGCAAACACTAAGAGATGCACTGCGTCTGGTTCGAGATTGTTCGAGATAAAGCGAGAGGCGCAAACAGACAGGATAGAGGGTCTCAATGTTGTTGGTTGCCGCAGCCCGGCGGGCGCCATCTGCCGGCAGTACTTGAAAAAAATGGCCGCCCCTACGATTCTATAATTGTAGGTGCAGCCTAGAGTCACTAAATGAGCTGCGTTTAGAGTATCGGCACTCCGTTCCCTGACATTGTTGTGCGCGCCGCCATTTTGGCTCGTATGCAGAGCAGACATAACTGCCGATCGTCCTGATTCATAAGGGAGGCTTCCTCAGCATCAGAGTTGGTGCACGAAGGTCATCTAAGATTGCTTTGCTCTTTCGCGAACTGTTTAAACATTTGTAGAGGGCGAAGAAGCGTTTCCTCGGATTTCAGATAAAGCTTCAGATAACTGGCAACCATGATTTTAAGACACAATATGGCGAAGTGTCGTTACTCTGAAGCGTAGCTTATTTAGTGGCACTAGTGCAGCCTATACACGGGTAATTTTTAAATATATTTTTTCATTTTTTTTTGTTTTTTAGCTTAAAGTTAGGGGTCTGGCTATTACACGACTGCGGCCATTACACGCGTATATACGGTATATCGCAATCGGACAAAACTTAATATTGCCTCCCGCCACACGGGCGCCAAGGCAGACATGGTCTAATGTAACGCTTGAACGCTCAACGTTAAATTAGACATGGTCTAATTTAACGTCGAAGCAAAAATCAATTTTGCGGCCGTAAAGCTTCTTTTTTATTTTTTTACTTTTTCTGCCAAGCAAGATAATTGCATGTTAGCTTGGGTGGGGGGAAGGGGGGGGCTGTTTGTTGTTTGTGCAGGAGTGCTTTTAACAAAGAGTCGTTAGGGCGTTCACGCGGGTTGTCTCAATATTTCCTGTTGTGACTTGTTCCGCTCCAACTTTCGTTCTGTGACAAGACAGACGGTATGGTGTGACTTACAAATGGTGAATAGTTATATTTACACAGTCACAACGAGGACACTGCGGTAACAGAACCTCCATATAATTAATTAGGCGCTCTGTACAGGGGGAAAAAAGTCACGATCGGCCTCGAGGTCTTTTCTATATTCGAGCTGTCCGGACCACACGATAGTATGTACGGGAAAGTCAACCTATCGGGGAAAGCCAACGATAAGTTCTCGAGGTCTAGGACAATAGAGAGTTTTCGTAGACCGCGCTGCCCCCTCCGCTAAGCGTTCCGCAACGAAGAAGTTGCTACTGCGCCTGCGCGCCGATAGCCTTGACTGTGGAGTTCCCGCTATCATAGCGGGTTGCGGAGAGCCTTGCGGGGTGACGAAAACGATCTACGAAAACTCCCTATTGTTCCTCCGGTACGCAAAGTGCGCGCGGCTACCGTCCTCGGTTTCTTCTCGTTCGTTCCATGAGCACCTTATGTCTGATTGTTCAAATAGGTCTAAACAAAGTAGTACGGGAGTCTTTTATATTCATAGTGCGGAAACCCTCCAGCTTTTATTTTCGACACCAATTAGCACGACAGGCACTTATTATGCGCTGAGAAGAAGTCAGAGACAACTTAAGAAACACCGGGTGTGGCTTTTCATGTCCACGCTTCTAGCTCCATGATTCGCTCTTATCGGCTGATGCTACACTATCATTGACTGAATATAGGTATAATGAGATGCTTCGGACGTGCAACGCGCTGCGCTTTTTAAGTCGTCCGCCACTCCAAGTTTACGGTACGAAAGAGAGATTCGGTGAAAGCTCGGTCTGCAATCTTGCGTTCGTTCTCACAGGACCAGGTAGCGTGACGCACTAAATTACAAGGTGGGTCTAGGCGTCCCACTCTCTAAGGTTTAACCTTCTCGACGGATATCCTTTGACGTGACGGCCTCTTCGAAGCTGGCGCGGAGAATCCTCCGTGCTCCATCGCAGACTCTTCAGTCTGCGGCAACATCTGTCAAACAAATTCCGCCCACAAAAAAATAATAATAAATAAAATAAAGCGAAGCTCTACTTACAGAAAAGATAGAGGCTGTGCCAGCGGCCCACTTCTGGTACACTATAATGCTCGGTGGCAGGTGCGCGAAAAATGTCGTAGAGATGAATACTCCCCTCTCTAATACTGAGAGTGAATCTCGTCATTCGCGCCATCTGTAGGACCAGCGGCAACGCTCGCGTCGAAGCCACAAACAGCCATCTGCTGCCGGGACTCGGAAGGGAGCGCACGGCTGCCCGCGCGTGGTGAACGTAACGTATACAAGCTGCAGTAGACGTGGCAGGGCAAAGCAGGCCGCCTGAATACGTCGTCGTCGTCTCCGCCGCCAGATGCCCCCTTGGCGGCAGCAGCAGTGCTCCGACGTTCCCGGAGTCGGACGCTGTTACAGAATCCAGTCGGTCGGCCGCTCGCGCCGTCTGCTGACGAGACTTCCCAACTGGTACAAGCAGGACCTCTTCTTCCTCCTCAGCGGCGTTCCCAGTGTCGGCATGCCCCCGCGCGGAGTTGCCTACTCCCTGGTAAGGCACCACATTACGTTCCTTTTTTTTCCAAGAGACCGCTATATCATATGTCTAATAGAATAAGATCGCGCGGTGTCACTGGCCATCGTGGAATTTCCGTTCATTGAAGCGCAGGCATCAACAAGGTCAGCACTGACTATGTAGCACTCAGGTATCGCTGTGGTGTATGCGTGAAAAGGCCTTAATATTGAGTCATTTATGATACAACAAAAGAAGGGCAATTCTGAAAGAAACGCATATGGTAACCACCAGAGGCAGGGTGTCAAAGAACAACGGACAAGTTGACACAACAGCTGCACCTGCAGAGGACGTGGTGCCCGGACCCTGCGTGTGCGTTTCTTCGTTGTTGCGGGAGAGAAATATACGTCTTGCACAAGCTACAAAGAGATTAAGAAAAAAAAATAAAAATAAAAAAGCGGTTTTGCTGATGCGAAAAGAAATCTATTTTAAAGGGATACTTCAACGAAATTTGAAATATTCCCGTCGTGTTCAAAAATAGGTTGAATATGATTCACAATATCCGTAAATGACAATCGCACTTTGTATTTTGAGCCTGGTGGCGGTATTTTTTCGTTATAAACGGCCCACTCTGGCAAGCGCTCGGAGAAGGCCCAGCTGAGACCACGTGACATCCAACGCAATCGTGACGTAGTTCGTCTCAGGACGAGCAAAGCTACGGCGAGGCTGACGTGGAGAGGATGGCCTAGTCGTTCCAGCCACCAAAGCGCTGCTTTTGTACGAATTTCGAGTGACGGGTTAATCTTCTATAATCTTGTAGGGGGACAATAGCGACTTCTGCGACACACAAAAGGCATTCCCGGGAAGAGGGGAGTTCCTCCTGCCCCTCTTCTCTCGTCGTGGCCGGAGGCGAGACAACCTCCGTCACTAGCTGCCAAGGTTCCTAGACCGGCATTACAAGCGAAGCGTTAGCGACATCCACCAGGTGCTCTTTGCTAATCGTTTAATTCGTTTTAAAATTCCTTTTCGTGACTTTTTTAACAAGATATTGGTATGTTCGATTTGATGCTGCTCCTTTGAACATATATAGACCAAAAAATGAGCGCCGAAATTTCGTTGTAGTATCCCTTTAACCTGCAGAAATAATTCGAGGAAACCCAATATGGATAGTGAACATTTTAAACGATATGATGAGCAAGCGACAGAGCTTCAGGCCGCTTCGTGGGATCACGAGTGTGCGTTGTCTGTATGCGGCCGCGCCGATCGAAAGGTCAGAGCTGTCAAGCCGGAAAACTAAACGTTGTCATAAGGTGTCGTTATGTTTACGAATTTTTTGTGAGCGCAAGAACCGAGTATGCTACTGAAAATTCAGGGTTCGAATGATATGACTCTGGAGCCATGTAATTCCCTGGCCGGTCACTCTCTAGAAATTCTTACAGGCACTTCGCGACGCAACATGGCCCGTATAGGGGAAAGCAGACCATTGACCCGTAGGTCTGACCTTGGATAGATGCCACGAATTACGGATCCATCTGGATCCGTAAATGATTTTCTGCGTTTCTCAGAAACGATGCTTGAACAGAGCATACAACTGAAGTTGTGGTGGAAAGATGTGAGACCTTGGTTATCTTTTGGCTTTCGAGATCGGGAAGGTTCTGTGGTGAAGTTCGTGGAGTGTATATAAGAAGGGCGACCAAAGAAACTTGTCTTTAGCTGTGTTAGAGACGTGTCCTCGACTGTTCATTTTTCTTCTACTTTGAAACTTTCCTCTTTTCCTGCCTCAGTCTCGGGCTAAGAACAAAATGAAGTTACAGGTTGTTCTTGTTGGTGACCTTAATATAAATGTTTCCGCGGACAATGTATCACATTTGAGTTTTCAAGAGATATTTGAATCTTATGGTTGCACAAACACAATAGCTGTACCAACTAGAATCACCTCGACTTCTGAGACAACCCTTGACCTCTGCATTACAAATCTCCCTATTGAGAATTTGAGATCAGGTGTATGGACGTGCGGTATCAGTGATCATTTGCCAATAGACTGTCTAATGCATGTTAACCAGCTGCGCAGAATTAAAGAAAACAAGCTGGTTAGAGAGTATTCGGAACGAAATATTCAGCATTTCAAAGATCTTATTTCCTGCCTAGATTGGGATAATGTTTTGAGAGAAAATGATGCAAACACAACCTATGACTTTTTTTTTTTTTTTTATCCTGCTTTGTGTCCGCGTATAAGACCTCTTTTCCCACTAAAGACACGTAAACAGCATAGGAAACTTGAAAACCATGGATATCTAATGAATTATATGCAAGAATTAAAAACCGCAGCAAACTGTTTCAAACATTTCTGAAAACGAGAAGCGAAAGTGACCTTTGCATATTTAAGAAAGTCCGAAATAAACTAAACTCTCATAGTAAAAAAGCAAAATGCGAATATTATATGAACAATTTTTCACCGGTTATGGGAGATCCCCGCATGATATGGCAAACAGTAAAAGAGATAATTTCTTAGAATACCTCGGCAAGAAAAGTTAAATTTTACAATGAGGCGCTGACGGATGAACAGATGGCAAATCTGTTCAATGCGCATTTTCTGGCTGTTGGTGCTCCTTTAAATAACTGTGCAGAAATACCATGCGAGCAGTTCATTTCGACCAAACTGTCTTAATTCTCTCTCTCTATATCCGACAAACCAATGTGAAATAATGGAGTTAATTCTAGCATTAAAACATGATTGCGCCTCCGGGGCAGGTCGACATTAAACCAAAACCGTTAAAAGCCGTTTGCGACACAATCAGTATTTAACTCGTGCACGTTTGTAACCTCATTTTATCTACGGGTGTCTTTCCAGACAAAATGAAGCATGCACGTGTGACGGTTATACACAAAGGAGGCCCGGTTAGTGACTTAAATAACTATAGACCGATTTTTGTACTTTCAGTCTTTGCACAAATAGCCGAACATATTATAAACAAAAGAATTGTTTTTGACTTTCAATAACATTTTAGTAAAAACTATTTGGTTTTCAGAAAAATAAATCACCAAAAGTCGCACTTCTTGGAATTAAAGAAGAAATTCTCGAGAACATAGAAAAAAAAGTATACACGCTTGGTATATTCCTATATCTCAAGAAGGCTTTGGATTGCGTTCAGTATTTTTACAGAAACTTCCGCTTTGCGGAATACGCGGTATTTCCTTAGCAATGTTTAAAAGTTACCTCACTACAAGAACCCAACATACAGTGGTAAATAGAGTAAAGTCAAACGTTCAGTGCATAAAGTATGGGGTTCCTCAGGGGTCCATTCTTGGTCCTATATTATTTTTATTATATATTAACAACATTGTAAACATACATGGCAGTTCAAATATAGTCCTATATGCAGACGACACAAATATTTTCTTTTCTGGAATGGACATCAACGACCTCTTTGGAAAGGCAAAACAGCGGTTGCGGGGATTAGACTTATGGCTTAGATCTAATAACCTTTATTTAAACATAGAAAAAAACGAAGTACTTACTGTTTAAACCAAAAGGAATGATACCACCTTCCAATTTTCAATTAGAATTCCATCACTCTCATATTCAACCATCTTCAACCATTCGATTTTTGGGGGTTCTATTCCATGAAAGCCTATCATGGACGCCACATACTGATTCTTTGAGAACAAGTCTTTGTCAAGTCTTTGTCGAGCTGTTGGCGTCTTAAATAGACTAAGATATTATCTATCAACAAAAGTGAAACAGCAAATTTATTTCGCCCTTGTGCAATCCCGCATGGCCTTTTAGTGTGGTCAACTACATCCTAAACAAATCTAGACAATATTGTATCCATACAAAAGCGAGCATTGCGAGCAATTGCTAACATGCAACTTCTTAAAAGTGCCACATTAAATTTTAGGACATACGAAATACTAAACGTAAGAGATCTACACAAATACAAACTAGCACTTGAAATTAGGCGGAAATTTCAGCTCGATAACTTGGTATTCCATACTAAGTACCACGCGAAAGATAGCCCGTATAATTTAAGGCGACATTTATTAATAAAATCGCGTTCGCGAACGAATTCTGGAGACCAGAGGTTGAGTTTTTTTTATACCAGACCATTTCAACCAGCACCCGTATATTTCAGCTGCATTGGATTGCGTACGATCACTCTATCAATATAAAAATATTGTAAAAGAACATTCACTCGCAGGGGAATAAAACCGGATGTGTTTTAAGCAAAATGCTTAGGATGAAAACTGGCAAATATCCTTTCCCTTTATGATGTTTTGTGATGTATTTGTTTTGGTTTGTATAGATTTTCAGTTTGGAGTGAAATTGTATCACGTACTTCTCATTTGTTTCATGTTTGTTTCTTGTTTTTGCTACCGTCGCTGCCAAAAGGGCGGCAAGCCTCGTCAGGCATTTATGCCTTTAGCCATGTCCCCTGAGACATCTCTGTATTGTCATGTCATAAATAAAGGTATAAACAAACAAACATACAAATCGTGCGTCCGCAAAGCCAAATATTACGGCGCAAGAAGAAAAAAAAAAGTAATTAATTTTGGCAAAGAAATGGCGGAAAGCACGCTTGCTTTAAAGAAAAAGTACCGGCAGGTGTCATATAGCCTTTTAGAGACGAATCAATGGGTCAAGGGCGATGGTGGCAGACGCAACTCGGTGCGCAGTTTGAACACATCCGTCATCACGGCAAGAACGAAGCGTGCGCATCAAACGCGTTCACATTTCAAACCGAATTGAATAGATATTTGGCCTTTTTTTCTTGTTGGCGCGGGAAAGAGGAGGTCTGTAGATTTGTTTGTGAGTTTTCAGTTTCCTGTTACAGAACTTCGCTGATGTTTTTGCGCAAAGGCGTAATTTATTGAAGTGAATTGCTTCACGATGAGACATGAAACGCTGTTCGTATATAAGCGAGAAGTTCTCGATGTTAATTTTGATGTGTTAGGGAGTTGCGCTGCTGTATCAAGTCCACTCCGACAGAGTCGATAATTTCACAGGCGGGGGATAAATGTGCCAGGGAAGCATACAATGA